AGATCAATGGAATAGAATTGAGAATCCAGAAATCAGCCCATCTACCTATGGTCAACTGATTTTTGACCAGGAGAGGAATCAGTTAAGTGGGGAAATGACAGCCTTTTTAACAAATGGTGCTGGCAAAATTGGAAAGCTGTATGCAGAAGACTAAAACAAGATGCACATCTCACTCCATATACAAAAACCAACTCAAGGTGAATCATGGACCTAGGACTAAAACCAAGGACTATAAACTTCATTCAAGAAAAGCTTGGAAGAACTTTAGTGGTCCTAATCCACAACATAAAAAGTCTTCCAAGTATCCTGAAAAATCTACAACCAGGAGAAGATAAAATAGATGAATGGGGCCTTCTAAGAATCAAATCCCTATGCATATCCAAAAACTTCTCCAATAGAGTAAAAAGAGAAGCCACAGACTGGAAAAAAGTATTTGGTAATGACATGTCAGATAAGGAACTTATATCCGGAATTTATAAAATACTTGAACACCACAATAAGGTAAAGGTAAACAATCCAATTAAGAAATGGGCACAGAATATGAACAGACACTTCACTGAAGAAGACATTCAGATGGCTAACAAGCACATGAAGAAATGTTCCAAGTCCCTAGCTCTAAGAGAGATGCAAATCAAAACAACTATGAGATATCTCACCCCAGTAAGAATAGCAAAATTTAACAGAACAGCAAGCAACAAGTGCTGGAGAGGTTGTGGAGAAACTGGAACTCTTATTCACTGTTGGTGGGAATGCAAGATGGTGCAACCTTTGTGGAAGGTGGTGTGGCGCTTTCTCAAAAAATAGAGATCCTATTTGACCCAGCAATCCCATTACTGGGAATATATCCCAGAGAGTCCATGTCTGCCATCCAAGCAGATACATGCGCACCCATGTTTACTGCAGCTTTGTTTACAATAGCAAAGAGTTGGAAGCAACCTAAGGGCCCATCAACAAACGAATGGATAGAGAAGCTGTGGTACACCCACACAATGGAATACTACGCTGCATTGAAAAACAAGGAACTCATTCAATATTATTAAAAATGGGTGACCCTGGAGGACATTATGCTGAGTGAAATATCTCAGTCACAAAGGGACAAATACTGCATGGTGCCACTGTTGTAGAATGGGTCTGACAGAAAAAAACTGGATAAATTATGTATATTGTATTGAAACAGATGAGGGAAAGAACAGATTAGAGGGGCTATATGATTGAGTATTATGGTTTGCACAGGAATCCAGAATTAAGGTTGTATAGAGAAATGTACTCAGGGTCGAGGGTGGGGGAAAAGGGATGGGGTATTGTATACTAATGAAGGAATTTTTTTTTTCTTTTCGGAGAGGGGAGCAAACTGGTGGGGAGCGGTGGGCAGGGAGAAAAGTGCGGCAATGAATGAAAAGAAATCCAAAACCTCTGTAAATGTTTACTAAAATTAATTAAAAAAAAAAAAAAGCCAAGCTCAGTGGCGTCAAGTCACTCCTGACCCTTGATGGCCCCAGTGCCACAGTGTCACAGGTTAGAACTTCTCTGTGGGGCCCTCCTGACTGGAAGCTTTGCCAGGCCTTTCCCACTGCCTTGCAGAGCAGGTTCAAATTGCCAGTCTTCAGGTTTGCAGTCCCCTGTAAATCACTTGCACCACCCAGGGACCTGTCAGCAGACCAGGGTCCCCAATTAAGTAGCAAGATTCGACCTCCCCAAGTGAGTCTCTCTGCCCTCCCCCACTCACCTTATCTGAAATCATGAAACAAGGATCTTGGGAGAAGAATTCCTGGAGATAACTGTTCTCTGGAAATGAAAAGGATAAAGCGTGATCCCAGGTCACCTGCTTCCCCTCCCACCAGCCCCAGACAAGAGGAGGGCCCCCTGATACCATACCTCTCACCTGTCAAAGCTGAGTCACCTGAGAGTGGAAGGGGCTGTTCGGATGCCACCCTTTACATCTACATTCATGCCTGGCCCCCACAGTCCCTCCCATGCCAGCCCGGGGAACTCACCCAGAAGGTTGAGGAAGGTCCGGAGCTCCTGGTGCTGACGCAAGACCACCAGACTCTCCCTGCCTGGCCAGCTCTCGCCCAAGTCTCTCATCTGGGTGGCGCCAGTGGCAGGGTCTTGGGATTTGGCACTCATCTTGTAGGAGTGGGAATGGGGCAGGGCAGGGTGACCTGGAGAGGAAAAAACCCCAGTGTTCACCACCTTTGCCCCCAAACGCCACTAGGAGAGGGAGTAAGGAAGGTGAAGGGATGAGCTGGGCAATGGGAGGGTTTGGAACAAGAGGGGCTGTCCCAGGCCTGACACGCACCCAGCCTTCCTCTCAAGCTCCAGGGGGCGTGAGCACCATTAAGTGCCTGCAGCTGTGTTCAATTCCCTGACCTTATCTCCTCCCGGAAGGTAACTGTTACGCCCACTTTGTAAAAGAGAAAGCTGAGGCAGGGAGAGGTCAGAGCCAGTAAAGGTAGACAGTACTCGAGTCCCAAAGTGCAAGAGGTTAACTGCTCTTCTGGCCCCCCACTCATTCCCCGCCCCGTCCCGCACCAAAGTGGCTGCGTTGACCTCCCCTCCCCCCGCCGCCCCAATTACATAATTCACAGATGGGGAAACTGAGGCCCAAAGATAATTTAGCGCCAGTTGAGGTGGGGACGCCTCCAGCCATTTCAAGCTGCTTCTTTCTGAGGTTGTGTGATCAAGCTCCTACCTGGGGGCAACCCTGGGACCCCTACTTAGCCCCGCGCCCTCGCGCCCTCGAAGCCTTACCAGCGCTCAGCAATTACCTACAACATCTTCCAACCTGTCAATATAACCCTGAGCTTTCCCGCCTCTCACGGCCCTCCGCCAATCAGCGCCCTTCCTGCAGGGGGCGGGCTTATCAGCACTCTACCTACTCAGAACCCGCTCATCTGAGGCTCCAAATCCTCTTTGCTGAGCGAGGCCAGCTGCACCGAAGGTCCCTTCCTGCGCTTTACGAGGTGGGGAGACCTGAGCTGAGTGGCTGATGGGAGAAGTTTTATTTTAATCTGTTTTCACACCAAAACGAAACAAACAAAACCGAAAATCCTTTGTCCAAGGCGTTGATCCTGACTCCGGAGACTCTCCTGTTGGGAGTGGGGGCGGGACACGGCTCCAGGACATTCTTGGCTACAAAATTCAAATTATTGATGACTCAGTCCCTCTAGGCCCCTCATCCCCAGAAACCTGAATGGTCAGTTCTGAGTCCATTCCAATTCGATGGCAGTGAATTGAGCGGGGTTCAACCTCTCCCTCCATCACTGTTCTTTGGAGTTTTCAGTCTATAAACTGAGCTGTAGGAGACTATCTTTCTCTCTCAGAGCAGCTGATGGAGTCGAACTGCGTGCCTTTGCGTTGGCAGCACAAATCCTTACCACCGAGCCACCAGAGCTAACCGCTTGCAGAGCTCAGCAGTGCGGTCTAAAACGTCTGAAGCCCCAGGGAGCTCTTTCATTTTGAGACCGAACCAAACCCACCATTGTTGACATTTCGACTCATAGTGACCCCACAGGATAGGAGAACTGGCTCAAGGGCCTTCCGGGGTCACAGATATTAATGGGAGCAGACTGCTTCGTCTTTGGCCCCTGGTAGATTCGAACTGCTAGCTTTTGAGTTACAGGTCCAACTCTGAATCCACTTCATTGACACCCAAGCTTCTTTGTTTCTTTAGAGGAACACCAAAATCTGAAAACGAGATAGTATTGTCTTGGTGTTTCATCCCCGAAGACCATATTCCCTTCCTAAGTCCCTTGGGAACTTGAGGTTCCCATGTTGGGGGTGCAGTCCTCTACCCTGGGACCCCCCCCAGGCTTCTCTGTGGGCACCTACCTGCTCTCCGAACCTGCATTGCTCTCCACATCTGGCAAGCATCTGGTGTGTTCCTTGAAGATGGAGGTGCTTGGAGAAGTTAAGCCCTCATGCTGGAAGTCCAGCAGCTCCAGCCTCAGCGGCCTCATGTGGACAACCTCTTCTGTGCCTGCTTGCATCATGTTTTGTAGCTCTAAGCCCCAGCTCCTGACATCTGGATGAGGGACAAAGCAAACGTGGGCTCAGCCAGGCAGGGCCAGATCCCCGAGGGAGGCTGGCTTCTTCCTGGGACACAGCATCTCCCTGGTAGGACAACAGCATGTGTGGATACCAGCTGTGGCGATATCTGCTGTGTCCCCAAACATGGCCCAGCGTGGGTGCGTTTTGTTCCTCTGTGTTTCCCTCCTTTTGCCTCGCTGCTCTGAGTCTCTCTTTCTGAACCCCTCAGCCTCGGTTCCTGTCTCTGAGTCTCTCCAGATCTCTCAGGCTGTCGTCTTACTTGTCTGGGCCCCTTGGTATTTCTGAGTCTGACTGGATTTCTGAGTCAGTTTTCTGGATCTTGGGGGGTCTCTGGATTTCCCTGTTATCTCTGAGCTTCTTGGTGTTGTCGGGCACCTCATGGTTTCATGGTCCTTCCGGGTGTGTCTAAGTCTCCCTGGGTCCCTTGACCTCTCAGAATCAGGGTCTCTGAGTCTCTTGTCTATGTGGGTCTCTGTGCCTCCCTGTAGGGACTGCTGGCCTAGTGGGTGAAGAGCTGGCTTCCAGCCCAAGGGAAAGTAATTCTAATCCACCAATGGCTCTGCAGGAAAAGACGGGAGTCTCCTCCTTTGTGATTTACAGCCTTTGAGAACCTGCAGAGGGTTGATGATGACTCATTCTGACTTGAGGGCAATGAGCAGGAACAACGGCGTGTCTCTCTATGTCTCTGGGCTTCTGAATGAATCTCTCTGAGTCTCTGTGTCTGTGGATCTTAGTCTGGGCTCTGAATTTCTTAAGGTTTCTGGATTTGAGTCTGTCTGGATGTCTATTCTCTGTATCTTGTGATCACCATCTGAGGTCAGCGAGGCCCTCACTGACCATGCGCATAGCAGCCTCCACACCCATCCCTTTGCTCACGTACATGGTGCTTCCTTATGAGGCTCTGACCTTGCATCGTCCTGTGAAGCGGACATTACTAGCAGTTTTGCTTCACAGACAGAAAACCACAACTAGTGTGGAGTTTGGGTTGTTTTCAGATAAGTGAAGTCACTTGCTGCTAGGCTTACAGTTCTAAGTGGAAAACTAGCTTCAAGAGGCCGACCAGTCTGGTCCAGCCCTGGCCCTAAAAAAAAAAGCCTGACCTGGAGGTGCTCAGTAAAACTGTGACAGACACCCTTAGACCAGTTGTTCTCACCCTCTCCTTGTCCAACATAAATCAGCCTAGACATTGATTCCAATCCATGGGAACCCTCCAGTGGGTTTCCAAGGATGTCAGTCTTACCGGAAGTTTCTCCAAAGTAGCAGCTGGTGGATTCGAACCATCACAGAGGTACAGCCTTTGAGTCAGCAGCACAACTCCCTACAGCCACAGATCACTGTTGGGTTACAAACTCTACATAAACTGTGATGTGACTTGTGCCTTAACCCTGGGCAGACTCAGCGCTTCCCCTTCCGTGCTGACCTACAGCGGTACAGGGATCCAACACTCTCCACGCTGGGAAGAATGAAAAGAATATTAGACACACAGAGATGTCTCTTTAAAAAAAAAATGAAATATCTGTCCATGTCTGCGTTCCCTCGTGTGTTAACATCTTATGTAACCACAGCACGGGAGTCACACCCAGGAAATTGACACCAGTACCACTAACCCGCAGACCTTCTTCCTAATTCCTGCATCTGCACACACTCACTTGAGGATGGTTGCAGTATAACTGTGTAAGTTGTTGTGGTGGTGGTGTATCTAGCTCTACCAGTTCTATCACAGAGCAGCGCTGTAACCACTCCCTCAGTCAGGACACAGATGCGCCCCATCACCTAAACAACCTTCCCTCCTCTATCCCACACAGCTCTGCCCCTGACAACCACCAGGATGGTCTCCAGTTGTGTAATTTGTCATTTAAAGAACACCATCTCAAAGGGGCTCTGTGGCCTGGTAAGTAGGGAGTTGCACTGCTAACCAAAGGTAGGAGGTTTGAACCCTTCAGCTGCTTCAAGGGAGTTGTTGTTCTGTCCCATTGAGTCACCTGTAACTCATAGCAACCCTATGTACAACAGCTCTGAACCCTGCCCTGTCCTGAGCCAGTCTCACTGACTGACACACCTAATCCCATTGCCCCAGTTACTGTGTCAATCCATCCCACCCAGGGTCTTCCTCTCCTGTGCTGTCCCTCTACCCTTCTAAGCATAATGTCCTTCTCCAAGGATTGATCCCTCCTGGCCATGTGTCCAAAGTATGTGAGAAGGAGCTTCAAAATCCTTGCCCCCAGGGGAAAACTTGGTATCACTCTCACCAGGATAAACCTGTTTTCTTGGCAGTCCGTGATATGTTGAACACTCTTCCAGCATCACAATCAAAACCATCAATTCTTCTTCTGTCATCTTTAGTCACTGTCCAGCTCTCTGATCACAGCAAGTAATTGCAAAGACCATGGTCTTGATCAGGCTCACCTTAGTCTCTAGACTGACATCATAGCTCTGTAGCACTTTGGAGAAGTCCTTGACAGCAGATTTATTCAGTACAAGTAGTCTTTTGATTTTGTGACTGCTGGTGTCAAGAGAGTTGATGGTGGAGACAAGCAAATAAAAACTGTTAACAACCTCAGTCTCCTCCCATGGGATAAGTAGCCTCTGAAAACTCACTGGAAGGTTAGCTATGAGTCGACTCCACTGTGACAGCAATGAACAACAATATCCTACAGGAGGCTTCAGGACCACCAAGAATCACCAGGAGAGAAGTGAGCCCTTCTGAGCTCAGGTCCCTGCACTGGGAAGCTCCTCCACAAGGGGAAGACCAGGGCACATGGACATCTCCAACGAACACCAGGCCTACAGATGCTGAAGGAGCAAGGGCCTTCCTCCAGAACCCATAGAGACAGCGAGTGACAAACAGCGCCTGAACTTGGAGTTCTGGCCTCCTCAACTGCAATAGAATATATCGCTGTTAACCCCCCCTCCCCAAAGAATGCTGAATAGATAGAATGTGAAGCAGAGCAGCATGGCAGAACTGGGCTAGGCCCATAAATATGGTCTAGCAGTTTATGTGTTGAGCTGTTAACCAAAAGGTCAGAGGTTTGAACCCCATGAGAGGAAGATGCAGCAGTCTGCTTCCATAAAAATGTCCATCCTTGAAATTCCCAGTGGCAAATCTACTCCATCTGGTGGAGTCATTATGAGTCAGAACTAAATCCTGTGGTGGTTTGGGTTTTGCTGTTGTTTGTTTAATATAGATGGAATCATGTATTGTGTGCCCTTTTGTGACTGGCTTTTTTCACGTAATAAAAGGATTTGAAGTTCTCTCTGGGTTGTTGCATATGCTAACAGTTTATTCTTTTTTTAACCAATTGCTGCTGACTCAGCCCTGACTCAGTGGCCCACTATGTGTCACAGAATGCTGCTCTGCAGAATTTTCAGTGACAGAATTTTTCAGACAAGAATTGTCAGACTTTTTCTTCCAAAGTACCTTTGGGTGAACTTGGACCTCCAACTTCCGGTTAGCAGCCAAGTGCATTGACCATCGGCCTCACCAGGGCCTTCTTTCCTGCTTGTTTCTGAAAAGTATCCATGGCTTGCATAAATCCCAGTTTGTTTGTTTTTTTTCATTTATTTATTGTAGAACATTTGTGTTTCTTTGACAAATAAAGCTGTTGTGAACATGCGTGCACACGTACTCGAATGGACGTGTACTTATTTTTTTAGGGCCATGTTATCAGAAGTGGCCAGTCCTTGGAAAAGGGTACCATAAAAAGTAGAGGGTTGGTGAAAAGAGGAAATCTGTCAATGAGATGGATTGACCGGTGGCTGCAGCAATGGCGTCATGCACAGTGGAGACTGTGAGGGTGGCTCCGATCGGCAGGGTTTCCGCTCTGTTCTCTGTGGGAACCAACCGTACAAGAGATAGCGCCTCACAAACAACAGGGAGCTCTGGTGGCTGAGTGGTAAGGAGCTGCGCTGAGATCCTGACGGCACACAGTTTGAATCCACCAGCTGCTCCACCGGAGAAAAATGGACAATCTCTTCCTCCTCCTCATGGGTCAGTTCCAACCTGGTGATATACAACAACAGTGTCTCATGATAAAATGTGTGGTTAACTTTATAAAAAAAAAACAAACAAAAACCCTCCCAAATTGCTTTTCTGAATACACTATTTTTTAACCAGCCCCAATTTTCATTCTTTATGTTTCATTTTAGGCCTTCTAAGTACTTAATAGGGTACATAGGGTTTTCAGAGGCCTGCTATTTCAGAAGTGGATGGTCAATCCTTCTTCCTAGTCTGTCTTAATGTGAACGTTCAGATTTAGAGAAGTATCAGACCAGCAAGTTAAAGGTATATCCCTTATTGCGGAGTTAACTTTAGTGTCAGTGTTGTCCCTGCCTTTCTCACACGCATCTTTACCCACTTATTTTCCTGCTCCACCATCCACCAGGATACCCATCCACTTCTACCCCCTCCCTTCACATCTATCTCCCTTTGACCAGCCCTCCGTCTAATAACTTATATATGAAGCTTCCATGGCTTCTGTGATTCCAAACACATCAGCTGATGGTAGTTCCTTATGTCGGGGTCAATGTCTCTGAAGTTTTGTCGTAATGTTTCCCGAGCAAAGGTGATGCATCCTGTAGAACTGGTGTGTCACACGGTTTTTACGTCTTCGATTACCTGGGAAGCTGGGAGGGGTCTGCGCAGGAGCGGAAGGCCCTCTATGAGGTGGATTGATTCAGTGACTGGGATAATTAGGATGAGAGTGTCAGAGACAGTGCGATTGGCACAGGACAGAGTGGAGTATAGGGCTGTCGTATAGGGCAAGCGACTCAACGGCACATAACAACAACAACAAGCACTTAATTGCAGAAAACCAAAGACTCCACTCTACAATACAGATTATATTTCAACATCAAGAAAACAAACATTCTCACCACTGGACCAAGAGGCAACACCATGATAAACCGAGGAAAGACTGGAACTGTCAAGGAGTTCATTTCATTTAGATCCATAATTGACACCTTTAGTAACAACAGTAATAAATAAACAAAATAAAAAGATATGCTGCATTGGGAACTGATGTCAAAGATCTCTCCAAAAGTGCTAAAGAGCAATGATGTGAATTTAAAGACTCAAGTGAGCCTGATCCAAACCATGGTCTTTTCAATTGCTTCTTATGCGTGTGAC